TACGGTGTATTTGGGATAATTTTCATGCATAAGTATTAAGTGGGAGAAATTTTTTTTTATTTTAAGAATAAGTTAAATTTGATGGGAAAATTTTTTTTTATAATAGAATATTAACTTTTCAGTAAAGTGAGTGGTTAAATATAAGCATTGAGTAGAAGTAAATTTTTTAAGTTGAATAAAAACAAAGGGTTTATATATGCAAAAATGTGGCAGAGCTAAAGGTGACGCGTGGCGTAATTTTTTTGGCAAAATTCGGGCGGGCTATGCAGAAACAGGGCTTTTACCGAAAATGTAACAAACATTGAAGATAATAGAGATAACTATAATATAAAATATTCAATAGTTATTTAATTTGTTATAGCCATAAACAGTTAAATAATAATAATTGATATAATTGATTACTTAAATATATTATCTATTATGGCTATTATGTATACATTAGTAATTTTATTAATGAAATATTTAATTTGCATATTATTTTCATTATCTATACAGAATGTCATAATAAAGACTGATTGATAATTTAACATTTGGTGCAAACCGCATAACATCCCGGTTAAGACCGATCTGAATCATCTGATGGTATTACAAAAAAAAATAATAATAATCGACTGCGATCAAATTATGAAAAAACGCTGTACCCTTATTTGATAGTCTAATATACAATATTATAATAGGACCCAAAAATGTATAAGGTAGCGAGTATGCGTATTTCTGAACCAAAAGAATCGGGTAGATCTTTCCTTTTTAGATAATTTCTTTAGATAATGCCGGTCAAAATTTTATCACCTATTTTAGTAACTGATGACGAGGATAGCATAATTTCGGCTCTGGAAAATATAATTTTCTGAAATCACTTGACCTTTACATATGTATTTCGGTAGTATAGACGGAATATATACAGTATGTTGATATTTCTTAAGTATCAAATTACATATATCAGATATTACTCAGTCTTTGGATATATTTTCTCAAGTTTAAGTCAAAAAACTTGGTAAAGAGTTTGCTGATCTTTGTATCGTTTCTTAAGTATATGTATATTAATTATTATTGTCGTTAAATTTCACTAGAAATGTAAGTTAAAACATGTATGATAATTTTATGGTATAGTGAGAGATTACGAAAAAATTTCTTTCTTTTTATTTCGATAAACTACGAGTGTTAATTTTCATATTTTGTTAAAGTAATAAATTTTTGTACACTTCGCTCCTATAAATTCACGTGAAATTAATCTTTTTAAACTTAATTAGTAAAATCGGTTTGATAAACTTTTACTTTAATATTTTCAAATTTTATTTTTTGGAGAAAAATATCTCAATAAATTCATTAATAACTTTAGTTATTTTTTAAGTGTAGCATAGTTAAAATTCCTGATACATGATTTGGTTTATTGAATAATAGAAGTTAGAGCTTCTTGCCGGAAAAAAAGATTATAAAATTCAACGAAAAATTCGGAATTTATACCAAGTTTGCATTATTTAGGTTTAACAAGTATAGCTATATATTAATTTTAACATTATTTTATTAAAACTAATAGAAAAATTTTATTATTTACATTTATATTGACATTTCTATAAACTATAGGTAAGCTGTAACCGGATATTTAAATATACTCATAACGAAATGTGGCAGTGCAAAAAATTTTGTTTATCAGGCTATTCAGGCTACACAGCAACTGGGCTGTTGATCTATTTTGAATATATTATTTCTTTGTTTAGTTGAGGCTTACCAAATTGATTTACAATCACATTACGTAAATTTTTATTTTATATGTACTTGTATAGTAATGATTTGTATTTATTTCTATTACAATATTACAATATGAGATTATTACTACTTAAATTTAGTATTAAATTTGTAAATTATATTTATAGGGATTCATTAACAGTATATATTGTTCATTTCTCCTAAATCGAATTATAAATCGAATTATAAAATAGTATTGCTAACATCACAGCTTGTGATTGTCACCTGACCAGAATTAGGGTAGAATTTTGGCCAGAATTAAAAATGACATGAAACAATGCCCTCCGATATTTGCTAATGCTGGTGCGGTGATGATCACCACGTGGTGATTTGTTGTCATTTTCATTATAAAAACCATGTCTGATAATTTTTTTCTCATTATAGAATTTTTCAGTCCTTCCTAATAGATAAATTATTTCTAAAGTACAGGATTAAGGTTTATACTTCACTAATTTATAATTTAAAGAATGATTGTAAAATAACTCCAATGCTTTAACTTCAATTATCCCCTGATCGGCACCATTTACACGTTTATGCAAATGTAGTTATACCTACTGGGTAGCCAATTTTATATGTATTTATTTATCCGTTTCTAGGAAATTTTGCGGTAAAAATTAATTATTGATTATACTATAATGGACTGATTCAAAAATTTGAGTAATTCGGAAAGATTTGCATTTTCTAAATGAGAAAAACTTTCTTTTAATTTATTTGTAATCTCAATACTATTTTTCAAGTGTAATAGTAATGGTTCCGAAACTTTTTAAAATTTATTTTTTTATTTTAAAATTTTTAAAATGAAACAAAACCAAGCGTAAATTCAACAATAAAATATACTATATTATACTCACAATATACTATAAAACACTTACTATTGTGTAAATGGCAGGGGATAAATCAATTATCTCCTGGCTAATTGGAATAGTAAAATTTTACTTAGAATCGGAACATGATCGGCCTTTGGCCGATCATTTATCCAATCCTAGTAAAATTTTACTTATTCCTAATTAGCCAGGAGATAAGTAATACGTATATGTAAATAATGAAATAACAAAGCAAAGCCATTTTTACTGGGCTAGTATCATAGTGTGTTTATTATTCTAATTGATGAAAAAACAAATACTTTTATATCCTTTTGGAGATAAATTCAGAAGGAGCAATAAAATAACAGTATATTTTTTTTAATATATATGACTATATTGACTTTTGGTTATTGATGCTGAAATATTGATGGATAAACAAATAGAAAAGGAATATGCTGTTTAAAAGAAGTAACTTTCCAATTATATTAAAAAAGTATGTCCGTTTAAGCTAAAATCTTTGGTTTTACTTGAATATTTATTTAGTTTGAAATTTCAATCATAACTTAACATCAAAATTTGTTTTATATGATTAATCAGATAATTATTGGATCGAGTTGTGAATCTTTTTTTTTTTAATACTTAATTATATATGCTAAGTATAAATGTTTTTGCGAACATAATCTCTGAACTTGGGAAAATTCCGTACAAAACCTTGACACCAAGGAAGACAAAAATTATTAAAGATTAATTTTCCAAAAAATTCACAAATAATGACTTGCTTTGCTTTCTTTTAATTAATGTCAAACATTGCGAGCAAGTTTACAATGTTATTATCTATGGTTTCTAGATATACTCAAAGCTAGAGTTTGATTATTAACCTTTTTTTTTAGAACCATTGTATCTTTGGATACGTGGAAACGTTATTAATCAAAAAATATAATCTTTTTCTTCGTTCAGATTCACGTCTTTATAATGGTTTTATTGAACAGGTAATCTGATAGAATTGTTCAAATTATAAAGGAAATTAAATTGGATTACAAATGTATTATATCGAAGAATATATAAATAATAATTATATGGATCAATCTACAGACTCGGCCAAAAATAAAGAATTGTTCCGTTTCACGTCCCTACTTTGAAATAGAAATATCACTGAGCTATTTGCATTATAAGTATAGTAAATAACTACCATAGTACTTTTTTATTTTCTAAAATAAAAACTTTGGTTTAAATTTATTTCTTTTGCCTATAATATTTCAAAGAAATATAAGTATATTATTGATTTTAAAGTTAAGCGAATTTTATTATTTAAATTTTAAAAGATGGTGAACTCTTTTATTACTTTTAGCTCCATATTAATAATAACTTTTTTAATATCATTAGAAATCACCTTAGTTGTAGATTCGTTTTGACCTAATTTCATCTAATTTTATAAAAAAATTTCTGTTACTATACTCTATTTGATAATTTAATAAACACAACAAAAAATTTTATATGAAATTACGCATTAATTTTGTATAATTCCTATCAATTTAAACAACTTAATTCTCAAACTACATATTTTTTTTTGCCTGTACAAAGCATATTCACTTCCAAATTATCTGAATCAGCATCATCTTAATTTTTATCATGATAAACATTTACAAAATAACCATTTACAAAAAGATACTTTTAATGAGAATATTGCTAAATTTTTTATTCTCTAATAATTAAATTTAATTAAGCTAATATATACTGTTGAAGTTAACATATTGGCTTCCGGACTATAGTTTTTCCAGTTTTTTAAGTAAATATCGTAGAAAGGGAACTTGAGTGGGAACTTGACAATTAATATTATATATATACTGTACATATATAAATCTTTTTTAAAATATATTATATAATTTAAAGCATATTAATATGGTCGGTAAATATTTATTTATTACTCTTAATTAGCTTGATAAAGTCCCAGCCTAGGTTAAAATATATATTTTAAATTGAATACCTCATTTCTATAAATTACAGTATCAATATTTTGTATTCTGCCTTGATAAGTATTATCACAATATCAATATTCATAACCAGATAACCTAATCATTAATAAAGAGACACTATGTTTATCTGTAACAAGTGATTAAGTGTATAATAATTTTGATATATGAAATATAACTGCATAATAGGAAATTTTATTATTTTGAAAAAAATGTTATCAATAAATCCACTATTGAAGCTATTATAGTAACTGGTAAGTAGTAATTCACCAATAATACGTCTAAAAAATTGATAATTACTAGAATATTTACATTAATTATTAATTTATTTCTTAATTTTAATCACCATAAAATTAACAATTAATAATATTTTCAATCTTATACTTTATTTATTCAATTACAAACTAATTTTTTTATTTATGTAAAAAAAAATTACATGTACTCTATAATTAGTGTTATACAAAATACAATGACATCAACAAAAGAAAAATAATATCCTAATTATAAAATTGTTAATAGTTAATACTAGGCTTAAGTTTGTTGCTTCTTATCTAATATAAGGAGTTTAGTATCAAATTATAGTTAGAACATGAGTTTTCACAATTGTGTTAACCCTTTTATATTTTATATTCATCACTTTTTTTTTAGATGAAATTTTATAAATTATATTTTATATTTGATGCAGATGCATATTCTAATTTATTTATTTTCATTTTTGTTCGATAACCTACCTATAAAATGATTTGTAATTTAGTAAGAAATAAGTAATAATATTAATTTATAATAGCTTTAGTACAATCAATAATCATACAGTCTAAACAATCAGTATCATCTTTTGAAAGATCTTTTGTAAATTGATTGAGTGATTGAGAAGTATAACAAGCTTGTGGATGAATTGATTGACTATTTCCAGTAGACAAAAAATTTGTTCTTCTATATTCATCTGCTTTTTCAATTTGCTTTTCAATTTCTTCATCATGAGAATAACAAAAATCCTTGAACAATTTTTTTATTTCAATAGCACTTGGTCTCTTATCTGGATCTGGATTCCAACAATTTTTCATTAAATCAATATAAAATTTTAGTGCTTCTTGTTCACTTATTTCAGGTCTAATTCCATTACATATATTTAATGCTAACACACTATCATGAGCACAATTGGCAAAAGGTTGTCTTCCAGTTGCAATATAATACATAATCATACCAAAACTATATACATCTGCTGCTTGATTATATGGCTTTCCTCTTAATACTTCAGGTGCTACAAATGGCATAACTCCATAAATTTTTGTTTTGTCTATATTACTTGCTTCTCACATAATCCCATATCTGAAATATATATATCATTAAAATAATTTCCAGTATTACAATTAAGGTTGTTAACAATTGAAACTAATATATTTCCTGTATGGAGATCACGGTGGACTACTTTATTTCTATGAATTTTTTTAAGACCTTCACCAATTTTACTTAGTACATCCAATTTTTCAGTCCAATAGTAATTTCTAATGATATTATTATTGCAATTATTAAGATTTCCACTATTTGCATATTCAAGTACAATAATATAGTTATTTGTATCTGGATTTTGGGATATCCCATATATTTTGAGAATTCCATCATAATTTACCCCAAAATCATCATCAAAAGAAGAGATATGATTGACAGAGTATGCAATAGAGTATGCATTAGCCTATCAAAAAGTAAAAACAATTAATTATTCGAAAGTATTTAATGAAGTCTAAAAAATAAATTTCATACCTCATTTAAAAATTCATTAGTAATATTTTGTGAATTATATAAGCATTTTAAAGCAACTTCTTTATTACTAATTATCCTATTGTATTCCTTTTTATATTTATCATATTTTAATGGACTATCTTTCCATATTGCTAAATAGACTGTAGAAAATCCGCCTTTACCTATTTCTTTAATACTATTAAGCTGATTATATGGTATCCATTCAACAATTATATTATTACAGTTGTTAATTTTTAATTGCATTTTTTGAATAAAATTGTCAATTTTTTCATTCCCACTAGTCCAATTTACAAAATTTTGTTTTAAGCCATTTATTTGACATGGTTTACACCATTTATTCTTTACTTCTGTATATATTTCGCCACATTCTTTGCAATAACTATTATTAAATACTATAATATAATTTTTTGTATCTGCATTTTGGGATATTCCATATATTGTAGGTTTGTCATTAATAGGATCTGCTTTAGCCTGCTGTTAAATATAAAAGTTGTTAAAATAAAGTACTTTTAAGGAATAAATTGCAAAAATTAGAAGTTTCAAACCTCATTTAGCAAGTCACTAATAACATTTTGAGGATTAGTCAAGCATTTTAAAGTGACTTCCTTATTAGATTCTCTTTCATATTTTATTTCTTTATCATTATATTTTAATGAACCATTCTTCCATATTGCTGTAACAAAGTCGTCTTTGCCTGTTTTTTTAACATTATTGAATTGATTATAAGGTATCCATTCAACAATTATATTATAATGGCTTTCAATTTTCAATTGCATTTCTTGAATGAAATCATCGATTTTATAATTTCCACTAGTCCAGTTTGTAAAATTTTGTTTTAAATTATTTATTTGACATGGTTTACACCATTTTCCCTGTACTTCTGTATATATTTCACCACATTCTTTGCAATAACTATTATTAAGTACTATAATATAATCTTTTGTATCTGGATGTTGAGATATTCCATATATTTTAGGAATATAAGAAATACCATGAATATCATATTCAAATTCATTCACTTCAGTGGAACATGTTTCATCCTGTTTAATGGAATATGTTTCATCCTGTTAATATAAAAAGTTGTTATAATAAAAGTACTTTAATAAGACTAAATTAGGACTCAGAAATATATATACAGTCGACCCCCTATATAGTCACCCCCATATAATCACAACATATAAAATTCCCCTTTATAAGCACACCATATTTTGGCCCAATGTACTAATAAATATATTAGAAAAACCTCCTCTATAGTCACAACATATGACTTTTTTTATAATCACACCCTTTTTTTTCGGTCCCGAGGGGTGTGACTATAAAGGGGGCTGACTGTATAAAGGTTACTAAAAAAATTATGAAAATCTTTCCTTTTTTAGATAATTTTGATAGTACCATTCAGAAATTCATTTCCCATTAGAGTAACCGGCTGACATTATCATAATTCCGGCCCTGAAAAAATGTGTACAGCTCATAGTAAAATTTTTTTCACCACCTGACCCCTATATATTTATTTCTGAGTCCTACTAAATTACAAAAGAAATAGAAGTTTCATACCTCATTTGAAAATTCATTAATAACATTTTGTGAATTGCTCAAGCATTTTAAAGAAACTTCTATATTAGATATTCTTTTATGTTTCCTTTCTTTTTTATCATATTTTAATAAACCATCCTTCCATAGTATTGCTGTAGCAAAACCATCTTTGTTTGTTTTTTTAACATCATTTAATTGGTTGTAAGGTATCCATTCAACAATTATATCATCATATCTTTTAATTTTTAATTGCATTTTTTGAATAAAATTATCAATCTTTTCGTTTCCACTAGTCCAGTTCATGAAATTTTTTTTCAAGTTATTTATTACACATTGTCCACACCATTTATGATCAATATTTGCATATATTTCATCACAACTTTCACATATAATATCATTTTGAGATGACATGATTTAGGACTTTGTTTTTTTTTAAAAAAACAAATAATTGGCCTAATTAAGGAGAAGTTGTCAAAACAATTACACAAATATGCGATGTTTGTTACAAAATTTAAATCAAATTGGAAATCATGTGATAATAATTACGCCATTTTTCTTTAAATGATAACACTATTACCCAATAAATTTGTCATACATTACAAGCAGATCAAAATAAAATAATTTTGGCAAAAATGATCGACATTCTGATCATCAACTCAGTCAAATCCGTTCTTTTAACATATACATATAATAATTACACTGATTATTTTTTAATACTAAACGTCATGATTTTTAATCAACACAAAGCATAGTGAAAGGAGCAAACATAATGAAGGATACAAGGATACATGGCGTAGTGGAAGACGGTTCATTCGATTTCACCGTTGGTTCCACTTCGGTTCCCATTAAGAAAAATGTGAGCTGATTCATAGTTATCATAATTTTGATGATGGCCATATTTTGAACCAGTTTTTGGAACCGGTTCGGTTCACTTCACGCATCTCTTCAGAATCAGCATTACGATATGATTATTTTTGGTCATGCTACACAAAGTTTGAAACTGTGAAACCTAACCCTTCAATTGTAGCCATATGTCTTTGGGTACTGTGTTCATATTTAATTATAACATTTTAAACAATTAAATAATATACTTAAGAATCATTTTTTGAGATGAATGCATAGCATCTGCATAGCATCATATTACTACTTGCTGATGATAATGAAACTGATATGAATAGAGGGTAAAAAAAATTAACATGAAAATCTTGAACATGATTCTTGGCGAAAATTATCTTGAAAACCAGAACTTAATTTCTGGCAACGATTTATAATTGAATTGATCCAATCATAGATTCCGTAGCTTCTGTAGTTTCTTGGAAATGAATCTTAAAAAATTAAACTGGTATTAAAGTTAAGCAATGCAAAATATTAATCATCTAAGCACGCGATAGAATTTATTACGTGATAGTAATACTTTTAATACTTTTTGTATCATTAACTTTTTTGACATTTAACATTTCTTTTTAAATCTATTTTGATATTTAAATATTTATAAAAATTTGTAATTTTAACAATTTGAAGTTTAAAATTTTATTAATAGTACTATAAATATAATATTTTTTAGATCAAATTATAAATATTTGATTAAATATATTTGATATAATTTTTATAATTTTATAAATAAGTGTTCTTAAAATAATGTTTTTTAAATTTGTTTTTAAATTAATATTTTAATCCTTTCTAATTATAAAATGGAAAATAATTAATAAGATAGGATTATTTAAAAGATTATTTACTATAAATTTCTTTATTCTTATAATAATTAAAATTTAATTATTTTTTTTAAAAAACAATAAAACAAGTAATTCAATTTATTATTAATAATAATTATTCAACTTATATTATATAAAAAAAAATAATGATATTTTCATATTACATATTACTTTATATTATAATATGATAAATTAATAATATAAATTATTAATATAAATATTTTTAAAATTTTTTTTTTTGATAATAAAATGAAATTTGAACTTTAAATTTATTTTTTTATTATTTTTTACATATATAGTATTTATAATTTCTTATTATTATATTTGTAAAAATTATATAATTTGTTATAGAGTATATTTTTATTTAAAGTTAATTTTCTTTTTTAATGTATTGCTATATTTAAATTTGTTATTTAATAAAGTAGAGTATTTATTTATCTTAAATCTTAATATTAAAAAAAAAATAGTTTTTAGATACTTTAATAAAAACAATTTAAGTAATTTATAAAAAATAATATAATTTAATATAATTTTTATAATTTATTTTTTGATTTATTTAGAAATAAATTTTTAATTAATTTTTTGGTAATTAATTTTTAAATAAATTTATTAATATAATAATAGTAATTTGCAGGATAATGTATAATTTTCTTTAATCACATTAAACTAAAAATAAATAATATTTAATTGTATAATGATAATTGTAATAAAAATATTAATGCTAGTAACTAATAATGATGATTATATTAGTATTAAGAATAAAAATTGGTTTTTTCTTTTATTTATTATATTATTCAATTTCCTTTATTTATTTATTTATTTTTTTTTTTAAAAACTGTGCATCTTTATTAGGATTTATTTAAAAAGTATCCTATCTAACAGATACGTAGAGTGAGCCCATGTCAAGTACAAACATCCTCTTTTACAAACTCATCAATCCAAACAAAAATACATCATAAAAATAATAAATATACTTTAACTGTTCCCAGATACTAAGCTAATTTTGAACCTAATTACGTAAAAATAAAATTAAAAGTGGACAAAATAATATTCTAAGAAATTTAATTTTCTTTATTACTTGTTATAAGCCAATTATATATACATTTAGCTATATATAATAATCAAAATTTTCAAAATATTTAAATTTCTAGACTATAATCAAACCTAATCACAAAAACCATTATTAATGCTTTGTTCAAGTGCAATTTTTAAATCTTGCCTAAATATTTCAATTTCATTTTCTTCATAATTATCTGAAAGCCATATAGTTCGCATACAAGTTTTAGCGTGGGGTATCCTAAGGAGCTGCTGCTCCTTGCTTCCACTATTTTTCCATTTAATCTAAATAAACAAAATTATTACAATTAGCTTTTATTTATTTATAAAGTAATTAAAAATTATAAAATATTTACTTGAATTTTTTGATGATCAGGAAGTGGAATAGATATTCTTCCACATATAAATCTTAAAACATTTTTTCGATCTAAAGGTATTTTAAGACTTCTTAAATAATCAAAGAATACCAAGTAACATGTTTCTCTCATCACTTTCCCTTCAATTCTTTTAATGTTCATCTTAGTATCAAATTGTTCTAAGAGATCACTCTCCGATATAACCACTTTATAAAGTTTTTTCTTAAAGTCGTTCCATGTGATATCGAAAATGTTCATCTTGATTATCTTTTATTAATTAAAGTTTTTTAAATTAATAATTTATTATTTTAATTTAATTTAAAAGATAAATATATAAATTACATACCTCAACTATTTTAAAAACGTCAAACCCTTTCTTTAAATCATTTAATTGAGAAATTCTTGAGTCTTCAATTTCAAATTTGGCTATAAATTGAGCTATATCCATCTTGTTATTAGTTGATGATAATAAATTTGCTTCCTGTATAATATATTATATTATTAAGATACATAATTTAATAATCACATATTAAAATTGTAAATATTATTTACCTGTAATTCATGTTGAATAGCCCATTCCCCTAAACCTCTATCATTCCCAGTTTTAATTCTTCTTCGTAATCAAGTATTTTTTCAATTATTTTATAAACATTTGGTTGTAAATTTTCAATAACTTGAATATAATCTATTTCCATTTCAAATATAAATTTAAAATGAAAATTGTCAATCCAGTGAGGCCATGCACCATCATGAATTAAGCACCAGAATAATAATTTTCCTATAAGTTTAAGTGTTTTTTTATAAATGGTAAGGGGATTAGCTATAACAAGATATATATGTTTCATGACTTGTATCAAATAACTTCGTATTTCCACAATCTCCAAATTTATAATCTTTGATTTGGTCCCAAAACTTTTGTATTACATGTAAAAAAACTCCTCCGGCATCAGCAACCCTATTACATTAGTTTTTAAGCAAAAAATTAAATTTCTTTTTTTGTAAAATTAAAGATTATAAATTTATATTAAATTAAAAATTTACCTTTCACTAGTTACAGAAATAAATGGCTTTTTTAATAAATCAACATCAGTTGTATGTTTGATCCAATCCATTATATTATCAACAACATCTATCGTATTTTCTATTTTAATCATATTCATTCCAGATATACAGTTATCTACTTGTAATTGTGTTAAAATTTCTTGAATGAAATTATCTACATTTTTATTTTTATTTTTATAAAAATCAGACGAATCTATTTCAGTAATTTCTACAAGGGATTCATCTGATCTAATTGTTGATCCAGAAGTTCGTCCAGTAGATCTTAATAAAGGTGTATTAATTGGATTAGTTGAATCCAAAATTGTTAATGTTGATGTTGCTGATTCTGATGCTGTTGCAGCTGATGAATCATTAATGTAAGATGTTGATATTTCTGTTGTAGCTGTTGATGTTGTTGCAGATGATGAATTATAAGATAATGGAATCATGTGTGACATATTAGCATCCACTCCAGTTCTACTGGTATGTCTTAAAGTCTGTTGCATTCTAAATTAATTTATAAAAATTATTAACCAAAGAATATTGAAATTAATGCAAGACTTCTCAAAAAAAAAAAAAAAAAAAAAAAAAAAAATTATAATTATTAAACAACCTTAAAGAATCATCATCTACTTCGATATCTACCCATTCTAATTGAGTATCTTCTTCTTGAGGTAATTGAATTGGTAAATACTTTGGCGATAAGTACAATTTAGTTCTATTTACTAATAGTCTGAAATAAATAAAATATTAGATTTTATTAAATTTATAAAATACAGTATGTACATAAAATTGAATTGATTTTTTACCTTTTAATCAATGCAAAATTAAGAGTAACTTCATCAGTTAATACATATTCTACAGTTGTATGGTTTGTAGATGTGGATCTGAACGTCCATTCCCTATCTGCTAATGCCGGAAAATTACTTTCAATTTTTTGTATGATATTATCTGTTTCCTTGAATGTTATATCTTTAATTAAACCAGCATCACGAATTTTTTCGTATCTTATATAAAAATTAGTTAAAAATTTTAATATAATTGTAATTAATAATAATTAAAAAAAAAAAAATAAAAAAAAAAAAATAAAAAATAAATAATTAATAAAACTTTTTACCTTGGCTGTATTATTGTTGGCATTTTAAGTTGAGGACCAACATCAGGTAAAACAATAACTGTAACACACATTTCTTTAATTTTAGGTTTAATTTCCACATGTTTTCTTCTTTTATTTCGATTCATTTGTAAGGACAGATCAAACAATTGGTTATTGTTAACTAAACGACTTTGAGCAAAAGTTTTGCTTAATTCATTTGCTATGGACTGTTCTTCAAGTGCTCGTCCAGCTAACAACTGATTTAATACAGAATTAGTAGATAGGGATGTATCAGTCTCTTGATTATCAAAAGTTTGGGTAATATTAGAATTATTAGACTGAGTATATAATTCATCTAAAGTAGAAACCCTTTGCCTATTGCTTAATAATCTATTTTCTTCTTTATCTTCGTGATAACCATAGTGGTGATTACAAACTTCACAAGTTTTTCCATTATTAAGTGCTATAAATCTCTGACATCCACATCGTTCACTACTTTCTATAGCACAGCATTTTCCATAATCTCTATTGTTTTGAGAGCTATTAAACATGATGAATATTTATTTTCAAGCAATGTATATGTAAGAAAAAATAACTGATATAGTATTTTAAATTTTGAGAAATTTTGTCGCAAGAAAAATTTTTTCTTGTATTACATTCGCGTTTGTTTGTGATAATCAGGTTTTTATTAAAAATGGTTAAGGAAAGAAATAAAATTACATCATAAAGTCTACATTATTTGTCAAGCAAGGATAAAAAAAAAGATATCAAAAGAACAGGACAAAAATATCAAGCAGGTGCAGATAAAAAGGTATCAACAGATAGACAAAAATATCAAGCAGGTGCAGAAAAAAAAATATCAAGCATGCATAGATAAAAAATATCAAGTATGTACAGACCAAATATCAAGCATAGACACAAAAAACATCAAGCACAGACAGTTAAAATATCAAGCATGCGACAGATAAACATCAAGCATGAACAGATAAAAACATCAAGCACGTACAGATAAAACGTCAAGCACATACAGATAAACATCAAGCATGTGATAGATAAACATCAAGATGAACAGATAAAACATCAAGCACGTGATAGATAAACATCAAGCATGAACAGATGAAAATGTCAAGCATGTACAAATAAAACATCAAGCACGGATTGACAAAATATGAAACATGGACGGATAAAATATCAAATACAGACAAATGAATATCAAGCATAAACAGGTAAAATGTCAAACACAGGGTGACATTTTATCTAGCCATGCTTGATATTTTATCGCACAATGTCTGATAATTTTGTCTAACTCGGCTTGCCATAGGTTTCAGGTTTGAGTTGGCGTATTTTGAAAGGACCCCGAAATATATATGTAGAGGTCAGGTCCAGAAGTGGTCCAAAATACACATTCTTTCAGGGCCGGAATTACGATAATTTCAGCCATTATCTAAATTAGGAAATATTATTTTGGCTGGGATTATCCATAAAAGGAATGATCTACATGATTTTTTGACTCATTATACGCAAACTCTGACCTGATCCTTTTATGTATATTTCGGGGTCCTATTTTGAACTAAAAAAGTCATGAAAATCTTTCTTTTTTTAGATAATTTTTGATAATGCCAGTCAGACTTTATTTCCTATTATAGTAACCAACTGGCATTATCATAATTCCGGCCCTGAAAAAATGCGTACAGCTTATAGTAAACCCCTATATATATATTTCTGGGTCCTGATCAAATTGAGTTTATTTAACAAAATGTGGTTATTAGGTAGCGCGTATAATTACAAATATTTGTTGTTTAAATACATACTAACAGCATTTTTATAGCGTAAATAAACTTTTTATAATAAAGTAGCATGGCGCAGCCAAACTGCAAGCATAAAAAATGTCACGAAATGGCCGGCATTATGTACGTAATTTGATTGAAATTAAGTATGGCACAGTTAGTGCGTGATGAATAGATTTTGTACCTCAAATAAATATAAGGAGTGATGAAAAAAGACACGTGTGAAAATCAGTTTTTCAAAATACATGTTTTATATTTATGAAATTTATCAATCCCAAAATTATTAAATCTTTTAAATGGTAAGGTGTAATTTGCTATTTGAAGTATTTGTTTTCCACTCTGAAGAAAACTACGCCAAGTTATAGTAAATTAAGCTCATCAATTGCAGCATCAAAAAAGACTATTTACTTTCAATAAAAGGTATTATATCTATTCATACTGTATTAGACAGATAATAATTAAAAATATAATATAATGGCTTTATAAGAACTTCAAACATCAAAGGTGAAATATTAAATCTTTTAGAAGATAAAGTATTTTAAAATAATTCGATCTAAAATTTAAGGTTATTAAATATAATCTGAATTCTTTATTATTACGTCCTTTGACAACTATGATAATTAATAAGATCGTGGAGGAATTCAAAAAATCACTGGATAAGGTAGTAATAGTAAAATAAGAAAAGTAAAAAGAAATTTAACGTTAAGTAATTTAATACATGGTAAAAAAATATTTTGAGCCAAAAAAAAATAAATTAAAATAAAATAAAAATAAATTGAAATGAAACGAAATAAGTAAATGAAAAATAAAAACAAAATAATCGATTAAATAAGTCACTACTTGAATAATAAAATCTAATTCCAAATCCTAATATTATATATTTTAATGGTATCTATTCCAAGCAAGAAAAAATTGAAAAAAAGGATAACGTGGTAAAAGTCTCATAATCCCATGGTAACGTGATTGAATAATATGAAGTATAAGTGTATAACGGAAAAGAACGAATGTATGGATTAACAAATAAATTTTAAAGAAATTAAACCGTCTATAGAATATTAACATTATCACTACAATATATATTTTATTTTTAAATGAGGGTGGTTTGAGTCAAAGTTGTAAAATACGATTGATCACTTATGTGATTTAATGTTTCTATGAAAATGTCTTCTCCAATGATAACAGAGGTAAGAAAGCTATTATTAATAAGAAATTGATAAGGAATTAATTATACATTGTTTTGAAAAGAAAATACTTAAAGTTTACAGAATAAAGTTTTTTTTTCCAATTATTTATAATTTATTCATGTTATACCAAGATTTTCTGTGTAGAATAAATTTCTAAGAACAATTTCCTCATAGAATTGATAATGCTACATTGCTATATTGGTATAGAAGTAAACAAACGAAATTTATTTTTAGACCTTCTTAATGGAAAATAAAAATAATTCTTTTATATTTATATATATATATATTTTATAGAATTCTATAGAAGTTTCTATACTGATCTAATCCAATTAAGTTATTTTACGGAGAGTGTATAAATTCTGCTAAGCGTCATTTCCTTTTTAGAATGATTTCCTGATGTGTCAGATTTTAACATTTCCTAATATGTAACACAAAGCATGAATCATTTGTCTGTTATTGTATCTTACTAAAATATGGAATAAATGAAATTAATTTGATCTTAATTAAAACCTACTATCCTTTAATAAAAATGTAATAATTGTGGAAAAATATATTCTACCACAAATTATATCATTAAAAGTATAGCGGATAGCAATATATATTTTAATATAAATATTTTTACAAAAAGGGAAACAATGAACAAAATTAGAAATGATTTGATCGATGAATGACAAAGCTGGCCAGACGGAATTAAATGATCGGCATAAAAATTCATTTTTTTTTTTTTTTTTTTTGGAATAAAGGCGGGATTTAATCATATATTTCTTATATTGAAATGAGTAGTTAACAAGTTAAAAATTTTCTTCTTGGAATCTAATAATTATTATGACCACGTTGATACTACGATGCAATATATATTTATAGAAAGAATTGCAAATTATTTGGAAAATCAATTGATAATATTTCTTTTGGATTTAGGACTTGTTTAATATGTTTTCCTAATTTCTGCTGGATGGGTAATATTATCCTTCTATTCCAATTCTTTAGGATTTGTAATATGACTTAAAATTTTTAATTCGTTTATCTGCCTGTAAAACAAAAAAAATTTCAACAAATTTATTACAGTTATTTGCAAAATAACGGACTACCAATTCATTTTCACTCCAAAGTTTCATACGCAGTCATCATAATTGATCAGTAAGTGCATTCTAACTTATTGTATAATTATTGTATAATAATAGTTACTGCATAAATCACTGCCACTAGTGCAGAAAAAATATTTTGTTGTTAGTAGATAAAATACATATTTCCAAGTTCAAAAGACGAAAATAAAATAATAATAAAACGAAAAATCAAGAAAGAAAGAATTTTTAAATAAAGTAAATTAGTGAACTAATTAGTAAATGATATTAAAGGACCAGGTAATGCTTCTGATGATCTTTTGTACCAATTTTTTACGAAAAAAATAAATTAAAACTATTATACAAAATGTCGAGAAATATAGCCCTATAAGAAATATGTATACGGAAAGGATACGTTTTGTATACACTTTATGTACATTTCTATAGATTCCATATAAAAATTCCGTATATTTAATAAGCAATTCATTTTTGAACATTTTTAAAAAAAGTTAATGTATACGAAATGTATACGGAAAAAATTAATCATACGGAATGTATACGGGATTTTTAAACTTAATGTTTTTAGAAAATAATTTTACAAAAATCTTGTATCATAACATGAGATCACGTGATTGTTTATTGTTTTGTTATAATACATTTTTTTGTTTTTGTTTTTGTTTTTTTTAACAAAGGAAAAATTTATTATAAAAGAAAAATATACAAAATTGAACTAATCTAGTTTAAATACAAGATCGAATAAAAACTAATAAAAAACTTGGTGACTTAAGAATATGTGTTCAAAAGAACTATCTACCATCATGCCTGCCCAAATACTTTCACATGCATAAAATATCCTACCGGTATTCGTACATCCTTTGGTGACTAGCTCAAAGATATTTCTCTATAAAAAAAATAAAACTAAAACATAAAACAATTCTAAAACCTAAAAAAATCTAGTATATCCTAAATTAATTTACGTAAAACATCTAAAATTTCCGCTAAGACCTTAGATCATGATGTTTTATGGGACTTATCTTTCTTCTGCTTTTTATGCTTCTCAGATTTTGTTTCTTGTGGTTTCTTTTTAGAATTCTTAGAATTCTTTTGACTTTTATCAGTCTGTCAACTTCCTGAAGTTCTTTTCTGATCCTTGTTGGTATTATTGCCAAATGACCTTGTTCATTGCATTGGAGGATCATGTTGATTCCAAGACAGGTGCTGTTGCTCCCAATCATATTGATTATCTAATGCTGTATGCATATCAACCCACTTTTCAAAATAACCAATAAGCTTACAATCCCCTTTTGCTGTTTGTACAATTTTAAAGCTTTTCAAACCATTAATCACAGTAAGGAATGAATGTGGGTGATGGTCTTTCCATAAGGTTGCTATTGTCATTGAATCTGGAATTTTTTTGAATTGTAGCTTGAAACTTCTCACGTTGTTTTCTTTCTTTGAGTATTCACCTTGCTGGAAACTACTGAACCGGTATCCCCTAAATCCATAGTCCAAACCGGACCATCATTACCTTCGAACTGGGCTAGACGAAAGGAAGTTAATTCTATCTTCAAATGAACTGTCTGGTATTTCTTTTGTTGTTTCATTTGTAACGAGATAGTCTTTCCCCACAGAGTTAACTGTTACAGAATTTCTTCTGGTGTCAAGGATACTGGAACATCATAAACCAATATATCTCTAATCCGTGATGTACCATCATCATCTGGTTTATGACCTGTAATAACTTGTTGAATAATATTTTTATTTGACTTCTTTTTTTATTCGAAGATTTTGTCAAATTAGATGAATTGTCAACTGGTTGTTTTACAAGCTGCGGCTGAGGCATTACATCCAGTTCAGAAATAGGTTGTACTGTTGNTCTAAAATTTCTGCTAAGACCTTAGATCATGATGTTTTATGGGACTTATCTTTCTTCTGCTTTTTATGCTTCTCAGATTTTGTCTCTTGTGGTTTCTTTTTAGAATTCTTAGAATTCTTTTGACTTTTATCAGTCTGTCAACTTCCTGAAGTTCTTTTCTGATCCTTGTTGGCATTATTGCCAAATGACCTTGTTCGTTGCATTGGAGGATCATGTCAATTCTAAGACAGGTGCTGTTGCTCCCAATTATATTGATTATCTAATGCTGTATGCATATCAATCCACTTTTCAAAATAACCAATAAGCTTACGATCCCTTTTGCTATCTGTACAATTTTAAAGCTTTTCAAACCATTAATCGCAGTAAGGAATGAATGTGGGTGATGGTCTTTCCATAAGGTTGCTACTGTCATCAAATCTGGAATTTTTTGAATTGTAGCTTGAAACTTCTCACATTGTTTTCTTTCTTTGAGTGTGCACCTTGCTGGAAACCACCGAACTGGTATCCCCCCTAAAACCGTAGTTCAAACTGGACCATCATTACCTTCGAACTGGGCTAGACGAAAGGAAGTTAATTCTATCTTCAAATGAACTGTCTGGTATTTCTTTTGTTGTTTTGTTTGTAATGAAATAGTCTTTCCCACAGAGTTAACTGTTGCAGAATTTCTTCTGGTGTCAAGGATACTGGAATATCATAAACCAATCGCAATATATCTCTAATCCGTGATGTACCATCATCATCTGGTTTATGACCTGTAATAACTTGTTGAATAATATTTTTATTTGACTTCTTTTTTTTATTTGAAGATTTTGTCAAATTAGATGAATTGTCAACTGGTTGTTTTACAAGCTGCAGCTGAGGCGTTACATCCAGTTCAGAAATAGGTTGTACTGTTGAGATTTCCATATCAATATGTTGATCAACATGTGATTGTGATTCAGAGGCATCTGCAATCAACTGATTTATAATTACATCTTGATTAACACCCAATTGATCATTATCATCATCAGTATTTCTCATTATTTCACTAGTGCTTACATCTGTAAGCACATCAGAATCAAAATCTTCAGATTGTGTTTTTTCTTCTTATTTTTTTTAACCTTCTTGCCCTTTTTAGACTTTTCCTCATACTTTCATTATGATACATTTTTTGTTGGCGATAGTATGATTTTGAAGTGGTGATCATCCTGCATGACCTTCCTTATTTATTCACTTTTTCGCTTAATTTGTAGTTTGTCCTCTAATCTTCATGCAGATTTTCATCTTTTTGGGAATGCACCATGTGAACTTCGTAATTGAATCTTATACTATAGCTATATAGCTATTAATAAAAGACAAAACTTCTTCTTCTTTGTATTCAAGACCATTTTTACTGCAGAATTTTTAAAGAAAAAAGTTCAATTTTAAGAGTAAGTTTATTAGGTTTTAACTTGTTCGAGATGTCAGGGTCGCAACCTAGGGTCCACGCTACTTGGTCAAGTACAAGACAGCAACAAGATAAAGAAGTTAACAAAACAGGACAACAGCAAACTCTTCAAGACTTGATACATAAACCAGTCTTCAATATCAATCCTATTATTCAGGATTGGCAACCTGCAAGTTCTCGTAAAACTAAAAGAAAAGATAAAGAAAAACAAGTTGAACAAAAACAACAGAAAAAACAACATCGTTTGTCTTTTAGGCAACATAAATCTACTGAAAAAACTACTGATGATATGGATATTAGTCAAGATACTTTTGCTTCTTCATCTGAAAGCGGTGGCGCAGCAAAATCCAATACAGATAATCAAGTAATACCAGAAAATCCAGATGCACCAATTGATGGTGAAAAAAATGATGAAATGATCGTAGACAATGGAAAAATTGATAATCAAACAAATGATCAATCTTTTAATAAGGATAATCAGAAAAATGGTGATACTAATGACATAATTAGTGATAATCATTCAGAAATTTTTAATAAGGCTAAACCTATTTTAGTTAAAATCAAAAAAGATTCTATTCCAGGAAACAATATTATTCAAAAAAAGTTTAATTTGAGAAAACAACTAGCTGGAATTAATGTTACTCTGGCCGGAGGAGTTATCTTAAATAAGAAAGAACCAGAATTTATCATTTTACCAATCATGAAAAATGATTATGATAAAATTATTAATCTAGAAATTGATATTATAGATGATGAACAGTAACATGAAAATGGTGAAGATGCAGAATCAAGTACTAATAGTAAGGTTAAGGAAATAATAAAATTTACACCATATCAAAAAACTAAAAAAGTTTTTACTGAAGAAGAAATTAAAGATAGAAATTGTAGAACGATTAAAGTTATAAATATTCCAATTGAAATTCCTAATTATCAAATTAGAGCTGTATTTAACAAATATGGTGAAATAGAAGAAAATGGCTTTTATACCAAAATTAGAAATTTATATATTCAAGCTTTCATTACATATAAAAAAGAAGAAAGTCTACAAAAATTTTACAAAGGCATATGGTCAGAATGGATTGGAAAACATCAAGTACTTATTGTGCCAAAAATTTTGTCAGAAGATGAAATAGAAAAAAGATCAATGTATACAGTTAAATTAACTGGATTACCATGGAATTCAACTGCTTATGATATACATGAAGCTTTAGAAGTTAACAATCCTAAGTATATTTTTATACCACGTAATCCAAATAATAATAAACCATTGAATTATGCAATAGTTTATTATGAAAATGATGAAGATATAGGTATTGCAGCAGAAAGAAATATTATTTTTTGTAATAAAACGCTTCATTGGGGAACTCCAGGTGAAAAATCATGCTATAGATGTAGTTCCTTTGATCATTTAATTAGTAAGTGTGATATTGAACTATCTGCTAAACCACGTGTAATGAATAGAAAGCAAAAGCTTAAGGAGTTTCGTCAAGAAAATAACAAGAAGTTTAAAAAAGGCAGTTATGCAAATGTAACAAAACAAAATTCATTTGAAAAAAGTCAGCAAAGTAATAATTCAAATAATTATTCTAAATATAATAATGGAAATATTAATAGATATTGGAATAAAAATATTTCACGTGATAGAAATAATAACGTTAATGAAAAGTCACTTGATCAAGGAATTTTCACGCAAATTAAACAACTTAATGAGAATTTGAATAAATTAGCTAATGATTTCAAAAAAATCCAACAAGAAAACTATCGTATTAAATCTGAATTTTATAAATATAAAGAAAACAAGTCTACAACAAGTTCAGGAAAAAATATTAAAGTCAATCAAGATAGAAGTATAATCGCCTTACAAAATGAGAATAATAAAAGATCAAGAGTTGATAATGAACAACTTGAAGCCTCAGGATCTTCAGATATAGAAAATAGTTTAAACAAACAACTGAAAATAATGAAATTAATAGATTCGGTGATGCTTTATCAACTATGAGTAAAAATATCTCAAAAATTATGAAATATTTTACTTCTGACAATAATAATGACGTTAATAATTTTCAAGGGGATAAAATTATTGACAATAATGAATCCCATGAGGATTAAATACCACTTTAAATATTATTTTTAATGATGAACAATAAAAAAACACATTCTTTTAAGAAAAAACATTATAATAATCCTTCCCCTGTTAATCAAAAATCACGTTCAAATTTAAATAATCAACAAATTTATCGTCCGAAAACACGTCAACGACTCATCAATTTATCAGATATAATTAAAATAGCTTCATTGAATATTAAAGGTATAACTGATGTTAAAAAACAATTCTTAATTGATATATTAGGTGAATATAATATAACTATTTTGGGTCTATCAGAAACTAATATATCAAACAAAATGGCAAAACATTCTTTTAATTTTTATAGAAATAATTATGTTACTTATTTTGCAAATGAGGAAACTAATTATAGGGGAAATGGTGTAGGTCTTATTATTAAGAAAAATTATGCAAGGCATATAGTCAATTATAATAGCTTCAAAGAAAGAATTATATATGTTGATTTTATTTTTAGTGGAAATAAAAAAATGAGAATCATTAATTATTATGGAAAATCTGGACGAGTTACTTTAAACAATTTTAATCAAGAAGTTAAAATTTATTTTGATAAAATCAAAGAATTGGTTAGAGAAAGTAAAGCACAAAATGCAGAAATTATTCTTCTTGGTAATTTTAATCTTCATTATGAAAAATATCTGTAATAATCGTAAAATGAAAAAAGAACATAAACATTTTGAATGGATTGAAAATGAACAAAATTTTTATGATCCTTTATATATCATGTTCGATAATTTATCACAACATTCCTTAAATACTTTCTATCCTTTTAATACAAATCAAAATCCTTCTAGAATAGATTACATTTGGGTAACAGAAAATTTATTTTCAGAAACACAAGAATGCAAAATTATTAATACAACAACAATTAATACTGATCATAGAATGTTAGTGTATTCAATATGGTCAGAAGATTTGATTGGAAATATTGCTAATATCAAACGGAAGGAAGGATTTAAAGAAGTTTATAAGTATGATAAAATGGATGGAGAGCAATGGGAATTATTTCAGAATGATCTTAATAAATACATTTCAAATTCAGAAATTTTAAAATTTAATTTTAACAATAAAAATAATATTAATCATATATGGAATAAGATCAAAAAAGGTCTTATTCAAGCTAGTAAAAATTGTATTCCAATAGAAAAAATCAAATTAACTAAAAGTCAAGTCAACCCAATGAAAATATCTAATGCATATAAAGTAATGAAATTTTTAATAAATTTCAGACGTTCAATTAAAGATTCAAGAAAAAGAAATCATGTGTCGGCTCCAAGTTGAATACCAAATCCCATAGGTTAGTTTCAAAATTTTTTTTTCGAAACTATTAAAAAAATGTTAATAAACATTTTTTTTATTTTATTGTAGGAAAATGGTTCTGAAGTTGGAAACCGATCCCAAAAAGAAAGTTTCAATTTGAAACTTTTCTTTTTTTATTTTATTATAGGAAAATCGGTTCCAAAGTTGGAAACCGGAATCCCAAAGTTTCAAAGTTTTTTTTTTAAAACTTTGAAATGTTTTTTAAAAAAAACGTTACTTTAACATTTTTTTTATTTCTTTTGTAGGGAATCAGTTCCGACTTGGATACCGAATCCCATAGGTTAGTTTTGAATAATTTTTTTGAAACTATTAAAAAAAACATTATTTAACGTTTTTTTATTTCTTTTGTAGGAAATCAGTTCTGACTTGGGTACTGAGTCCCATAGGTTAGTTTCAAATAATTTTTTCAAAACTATTAAAAAAACGTTATTTTAACGCGCTTTAAATACCATTTTTTTTCTTTTTTTTTAGGAAAATCAGTTCCGATTTGGATACCAGAATCCTGATGTTTCGAAGTTTTGTTACTTTGTTACTTCAAAACTACAAAATTTAAAAAAAAAACATTTTTTAATATTTTTTTCTCTTTTTGTAGAAAAATCGGTTCCGATTTGGATACTAGAATTCCAAAGTTTTAACTTTGAAACTTTAATTGCATATCTGTATGTGTATGCAAAAATTTATCAGAACATTTGTTCTGATTTTTTAATTTTACCTTATATCATGGAATTTACTGAATTATTTATATTTTCCATGAATAGTGTAGTTTTTTCTTATTGTATCAGATAGATCACATGATCCGATAAGTCGTATAGGACCCCCGGAAAATACTTATATAGGTAAGGTCCCAAAAATATTTTTATTAGTAGCTCTAAGCATAGGTTTTTACTATGATCGCTAAGCATTGTTGATATCTAACTTTAAAAATTATATAAAAATAAGCAAATCAATCTTCTAACCTAATTGAATTTTTATTATAACACATATAATTTATAAAATATATTTATTAATTAATATATTTTATTAAATCCAATTTTAAATATGTTGTGAAGCTAAACTAAACATAATATACAAGTAGATTAACAATATTCAATTAATAATGTTAATAAACAATAAAAGAAAAATTCGAAATTAATACTATTACAAAAAATGTAACTTTCTCCATAAGTATTATACTTACACCCATAAAAATTAATATGTGGTAGTTTCGACCTTGCTGAACAATTATCAATTAATTTAGAAAGTCGATTTCATTTGACCAAAGAGGTGTAATTACGCTCTGAAGTTGTAAACAAAGAAATGAAAAATTCAGAAGTTAGTACCGTTATGAAAAATGCACTTTTTTCCATAAGTATTATACCCACACTCATGAAAATTAATATATAAGTAGTTTCGACCTTGCTGAACAACTTCAATTAATTTAGAAAGTTGAATTCATTTGACTGAAGTGGTGTAATTACGCTCTGAAATTATAAACGAAAAAGTGAAAAATTTAAATGTTATTACCGTTAAAAAAAATATGCTTTTCTATATAAATATCATATTTAGCCATATGAAAATTAAAATACAAGTAGATTTAACTTGCTGAACAAACTTACTTAAGCATAAAAGATAATTTGATATAACCAAAGTGGTGAGTAGTGAAATTATATTTTAAAGTAAAACATATTTATGATAGTAATTTTATCTAACAAAATAAACATGTATAATATAGTAATTTTATATTAAAAATAATACGAGTTTAATAAAAATTAAAAAGATACTATTGACAGATAATTAATAAAACATTGAAAAAAAAAATGAAATTTCATCAAAAAAAAATTTTTGTTTATGTATTTATATAAAATTGTGAAATGTAGTACAAAATTAACACTAACCGTTAGTGAAAATAAAATAAAAATTAATTATAAATTCAATATATAATATTTTAAAAAGTTATATAAATATGAAAAATAAGCAACTAAAAACTCTTAGTATTTTAAAATAATACCAAAAATATGCAATTTAATTATCTTACATAGTATAAAATTTTATTAAAATTAAGCATTATAAAATTCTTACATCATAAAACTTTACTATGTTGGCTAAGCACCTTGGTACCTTACATATATAAGCATTTTCTGAGATCCTAGTCTGATGAATAACAGATTATCAGATCATGATCTTTTTTTTTATAAAAAAAAAAAAAGATTTTTTTTTATTAACCTTTCAGACACAGAACTAACAGAACGTCTCAGAAGGTAATTAAAGAAGGGAAGGGGATTTTTTTTTAAATTAGGAACATTAGTAGACATTACTAATGTTCCAATTCTTTTTTTTATTGTAGCAACCCTCAAGACGCTTTGAAATTGATGAAACATTTTGAAAGGTAAATAAAGGAGGGGGAGGGTGTTTTTTAAAATTAGGAACATTAGTTGATATTACTAATGTTCCATTACTTTTTTTTTTATTGTAGGACTCTTAAGACGCTTCAAAACTGACAAAACATTTTAGAAGGTAAATAAAGAAGGGCAGGATTTTTTTAAATTAGAAACATTAGTAGGCATTACTAACGTTCCATTTTCAAATTTTTTTAGGAACGATCCTGGACTTTAATATGAATTTTGGATCAGTAAGCTTAACTTTTGAAACTTTATTTTTTTTTAAAAAATAATATATTTAATTTTATTTTCTTTGTTTTTTAGGTACATCAGCTCTGATCTTTGAATTTGAACTTTAGATCGGTAATGGTAAGTTTTGAAGAGCTTAGCTTCAAAACTTTTTTAAATATTTTTTAACTTTTTTTTTCTTTGTTTTTTAGGTACTATCAGTTCCCTTGGATTTGAATTAGTAACGGTAAATTTTGAAAAGTTTCGTTTTGAACCTTTTTTTTAATATTTAAAAAAAATACTATTTAATTTTTTTTTCTGTTTTTTTAGGCACTATCAGCTATTGATTCCGATTTTTAGAATTGGATCGGTAACAGTAAGTTTTGAAAAGTTTTGCTTCAGAACTTTTTTTTAATTAAAAAAATATTTATTTTTTTTTTTTGTTTTTTTTTAGATACCATTGTCTCCGATCTTAGACTTGGATTTGGATCAGTGAGTTTT